TGCATTCATTTACATGATTCTTTGAGTTTGCTGTGTTAAAGGGCAGTGTGAGGTAAAAGCTCTGTTATCCCCCTCTCCCCCCTAGAATTCTACAAAGAGTTCGCAGTTAAGTATCAAAATGAACCTGAGGGGTCTGGTGACAAAGTAGATTGTGCTTCTAAATAAATACTTGAGCTGTGTGGTGTAGTGAGGCTAACTGCAGGAGTTAATCATCCTTGCAAGATGAAGATATAAGTTATTAGTCTAATTTGTTTTCCCACAGTTGTTTTTCACTACTTCCCCACCCCCGAGGCTACAAGAGAACTAGGTGCGGAAATCATTTCTCTTTTTTGTTTAAAGTAGCTTACTTATAACCTCATCATATTCCACTGTTTGAGCCCTATCAGAGGCTAATGCGGTGGAAACAGTGGCTACTCTCAACCAGTGCTGTCCTAGACTGTTTTGCAGGTGCAAGTGGAGGTATTCTGCTGTTTTTCCTATCTAATGTGGGGAGAAGCAGTTGGCTGGATGGTGACGTTGAGTTGTAAATGCTAGGAAGGAAAGCAGAGTTTAAATCTGGGGGAAAAACTGTTTTTCTTTCAAATATTCTTCATTTGAGCATCGTCTGGCAGCATTCCCTTATTAAGGCATATTAAGGTTTCTTACTAAATCTGTTCTACAAAAGATAGCAGGAGTATCTGTAATGGGGCATTTTGGAAGTGAATGGTTTGTAAATACATGCAGTTGCTTTAAATGATATTTATTTATTCTTCTGTCATCTATTTATAATTTCTTTTCACTTCAATATACAGCGCTGGGATCAGAAACTCCGCCACCTTGGAAAGGGAAAAGGAGAGCCTGGACAAAGTGATTCCGCTCAGAAGTCTGGCAAAACCAGCAATTCACGACAAGCACGTAATTAGATGTGAAATGCTGTATGTTAAAAGTCAGTGGACTATATATCAAGACTTGCATTGTTGGAGCAGCAAAGGAGAAATTGCACTATTGCACGTTATATTCTATTGTTTACTACAAAATAATGTTTTAGCTTATATTAGTTTTTATTCTTCTTTGTGTCTGCTTTTTTTTTCCTGGAACTGTGCAAGCTCTGGAAATATATAATTTTTTCTGTCAATAAGAACTGTAGAAAACTGCCCTTATGAGATGGGGAAAGATTAGGTCATACTGAAGTTACCATTTTATCTCCTGAATCTTCTTATGGAGAAAATGCTGATGTAATCAGGAATGAGATCTGTCAAAGACCATGATTTAAAATCATGACTCACACTGGCTCCCTTGTTTCGGTCTTTCTCATCACAGGCTTGGTCATTGTTTGCAGACGCTCGTGGCGGGGGGGAGTGGAGGCAGTGGATTTTTTTTGAGTGTATACGTTCTTATTCTGAAATATAATGGCCATATATGTGTGTGTGTGTGTGTGTATTTATATGTATGTATATACATGCACACACATTTAGAGTCACATGACACTTCTAGAGAAAGAATGGAAAAGAAAATTGTTTGCAGAGTTACTTACAGAAAAACAGCAAAATGATTTTTTACTTGTAGAAAACTACAGTTTAGATGTTTAGTGTTGTTTATGTAGTTACTTTTTTATTTGGACATTGGTAGAATTATTTGTTCACAGACATACTAATTAGCACTAAGGAAAGAAATTGCATCAAGAGAACTGTTTTACTCAGTATACCTTTGTAAAATTTGTAAGTAATTTTGTAACTTGCATAAGCCAAAGTCTAACTTAAAATATTTACTACAACAACAAACAGTGTGCTTATACACATGGGACTTGTTTTTTGAATATGTTGAGTATACGTGGGAAACGTATTGTTCTGTTATCTCAGAACATACTTTGCAATATGTTTTCCTCTTATAATGGCAGTTTTCTTCCTTTTCTTTCATTTCTCTGCTGAGTTGTAGGAGTAGACTGACTTACCAGGCCTGCTTCTCAGTACAGGTCTGCACTTTATCATTTTGATTTTGTGGTGTTATTCTTAAATCTGTGCCTACATAAACAGCAGTGTTCAATGCTAAGTAAAATATGTCCAATAAAAGAATTGTAGCTGTCAACACAGATCTTATCTGACTTTTGAATCAATGTCACTTTATTATATTACTATTCAAAATATAAGCTAAAAAACAAAAACCCTTCATTTTTTGTCCTTTCAGAAAGTTCTTTGCAGACAATGCCAACATTTGAAATTAGCACTCTGTTCTTTCCATGTTTTTCTTGTCTCTCTTGCCTAAAAATAATTTTAAATTATTTAAATAAAATAACAAGCCTCTCAGCTATAGTATACAGAAAAGAAACCACCTTAAGATGTAAATGACTCTTTCATTTTCAGCTGAAAGTATTGTCATGGTCTTCCTAGTGCTGTTAAGTGCTTTATGGCTGCCTTTTGTTACGAAAACAATTTTGCAGTTTTTAGGTAGTTTTTAAAGGATCATAATAATAAAGTAAACAAATATTTTGGGATATTTATAATAATACTATTTTAAGATTTCCATTAGTAACTAAAGGTTTCAGGGCAAGATTTGAATTGTGCTGGGTACCAAACAAGTTGAAACACAGGCCACTTTCCTGAAAAGCTCACAATATCATTTGTGTTTTTCATTTTGAAAAAGTAAAGGGGTAATTTAGAGAACTGAGTGGTTCTGAAGATTAGCAGTGGAATATTAAGCCTCTCGCTATTTCAGTGTTTGCTCAGTATACTATCCAGGCTGACTCAGAAGTTGTAGAAGGGCTTTCAAAAGAGAAGCCGATTTGGGGGGGTAAAGAATTAGAAGAGTCATTTAAACAAAAAACCTATTCACATTTGAAAACATTGCTGTGATGCATCTTGGACATTGTAGTTTAGTGCTTCCTTTCTTGTCTGTTCTGTCATTTGGTTCCTGTTTTTCCAGGCATGCTGTCAGTGAGCAGCTCTCTGGTGTGGTGCGTCATAATAGATATGTCAGGATGAACAGCCTCACTGAAGCAGAAAATGGAGACCAGGGGCTAGTAAGCTGCAAGTCCTGTGAGACCCATTATCTACATTATTAATTAAGTTTAATTATTTGGCTTTGGACTTTTCAGTTAAAATATTGAATTTTCAGGCAGTTCATGTGAGGAGAAAACTGTTGCACAAAAAGCCAAGAACACCAGACTTTTGAGTAGTCTTGCTTACTACTATCCTGTTCCCATCCTCAGAGCCTTCTGAAGAAGGCCAAGAAGTTTGTGGTTTTGCACATTGCTTAATTAATTCCTTATTAGAGACTGATCTAATCTCTTATGTAATTCAGAATTAGATTCTGTGGTGTGAGAATTTTTTTCAGTGTTCTCCTAAAACTGTGTTGAGCTTTGCCTTGTGCTTCCCCCTCGTTATTGCCATATTGCTTCATTCAAGGAAAGTCAGAATATCCCTGATAAAAGTTACATTTTTAATCAATTATTTGCAAAGGTCTTCCTTCTAATCCAGCATCTATTCCACTTATCTCTGGAAGTAAGATGCCCTTACTTCATCTTTTAGTCACCCTAACTAGGACCAAAGGAAAATTACGATCTCTGGAAAAAAGAAAGGGAAAGAAGTAGCTCCATGTATTTAATTAACTAACTGGTTTCTGGTCATCAATTCCAGCTCCTTATTCTGGGATTTCCTGTTTTTATTGCTAGGCCTAAACTCATGCGCATTCTTTCTGTGGTCAGCAATATGATAGACAGAAAGTGAGGTAGCTGTTTTTACTGCTGTTAACCTCTGCTGTTTTGCCTTTCTAGTGGGGACAGCAGGGTGTGATGCCTTTCTCTGAAGGAGAGCCAGAGGTATGTTTGTAACAGTATGTTTGCTCTCCTCTGCAACATGCCGGAGAATTGGTTACCTATCTCTGTACTCATCTGAGAGAACAATTGCAGAGGTAAGGGGGGAACTTGTTGATAAGTGTTTGCCTCTGTGAGAGAAAGATCTTGGCAGTAATCACTTGAGAGCACTCTCAGTTGACTGGGCAGTAATATTCTTGGGTGGGGAGCATGTTCGCCTGGCTGTGGTCATTAAATGGACAGTTTTCCAACAAACTCACTTGATTGGAAATCCACATGAATCAGTTGTGCATTGAATTGTTTCATTTAGCTCTCCAGATCTGAGTTTGATAAAGGAGGATATCTATACTGAAGGACTGCTGTGTAGAGGCAAACGTGTTTCTATTCAAATCAGTGATAACAAAATCTGAACTCAGGTCTAATTGGGTAAGAAGAGCAGTGATTTTTTTTTTATTATTATTTTTTTTAATCCTGCACTATTATGTGTAGTGTTAGTAAGTGACTGCAGTTTATACGCAGGTCCATTTTTCAATACCCAGCTAATAGAGCCAGGCTATGTTGGGATGCTACCACTTGCTTCAGGAAAAAAGACCTTGGAGGTCTGTAGAGAGGTGGTATTGTGCTCCAGTATGGGCTGCACTAAAGCTTCCAGTATGGCCTTTGATGGTGAGTGCCTTTAAATGGCCATCCATATGCTGGAAGGAAAGCTCTTTTCACCTGTGTTCCCCGAGCTCTTCTATAATAGTACAGGGGCAGTATATAGCTTTTAATTTTCCCTTTGTATGTGCAACTGAGGGTCATGCTCAGTCTTTTTATAAAAATCTTTGTAGCAATGGAACAAGTGATCGGTAGTGATTAGGAGTATTTAGTTTTTACATTTGAATATGCAAAGACTTTCTATTCACTTTCAGAACTGAAATGTGTTTGGAGATGGTACTAAAATTACACAGAAAAAGCACAAACAAAAATGTATGTGACAGTAGCTTGTTAATTGTGTATGATGTGGTTCTTCTACTGTGATGCACGCACCTTCACATACACGTGTGTTTCAGTGTCATAGGATGTATAGAAGGATTGATTAAAACCATGCCTTTCCCACATCTGAATGAAACTATTCCAGAAGGCAAATATACACTTTAAAATCTCTGTGGATAATTAGTCTGACATGTTGCTTATCAGAAGGCAACTTTTCCTATTACAACTTAACAGATGAGAAGGCAGGAGGAATAAACACTCAAGTTGCTGTTCACAAGCAGCGTCTGTAGTTTCTGGTGGGGTTGACTAATAGTTTTAATAAATATGCACAGAAGGCTTTGGACATGTTAGCAATATCATAAAAGTAACCAAGCTTAATTTCAGTCTGTGTGTTGTATTATTATTTCAATGCAGTTTTCTTTCTATTAAAGCCTATAATAAGCGGAGTTTATATGGTAAACACAACTTCTGTATTAGTGCTAATGAGAATAGCATAATTCATTTTCACTAAGCTTTGCAGAGAGAGACTGTGCCAGTAGAAATGCTAGATAAGGCTAAGGGCCTCGTGTTTTCACAGTGTCTTTGCTCTGAGGAGAGTGAAGGCTGCAAAATCTAGATCACCAGTGTGTGAAAGGGGAATTCCAAAATGAAAGGGAAAAAGTCAGCATTTTTAAAGATAGGATAAGATATCAAACAGCAAGACTATACGATGTGACTCAACTGGAATCAGTTTTTTTAATAAGATTCTAGTGTATCAAGCTTGAGAAAAGATCAGTTGAGTGTAATATTGGTGATCTGATGAAATATATCTACTGTGAGTTACACCCTGAGCAAATCCAGTGCCTCCTGTCAAGAAGTAAACTGCAAGGGTCCCCAGCTTTGGGGAGCTGTCTCTGCTATTATCTGGTTACAGAATGGCAACAATGTGCAGTGTAAGATGCCAAAATCTGTACCTTGAAGGATTTATGCTATAAATTAAGAAGGTAAGTCAATGAGATAGTAACAATGAATGAACAAATGAACATTATACACTGGGGAAGTAATACAGCTGTGGAAGCTTAAATCCAGCTGTGCATGAAAGGGAAACTCTTGTTTCCCTTCACTCATGTGGAAAAAGATACAAAGCATACCAGTGGATAATTTCTATTCACATAGCAGTCCTGATACTCTAAGGAGCTAAGAGACTGAAGTCAGAACCTTGAAGTTCTCTCCCAGCTCTCTGGCTATGCTGCTGTGTAACTTGAGAAAATTTACTTTTCTTCATCTATATCACAGTACAATAGTTATGTGTTCTGCAGTAAATATCTTAACAAACCCTTCTGTGATCCTTGGAGGAGGAATTTTTATTCCCTCCCTAGCCTGTTAACCAAGTACTGGCTATTGGATTGTTATTCAGTTCAGATAGTGGTGTTGGAATACTGGTAAATGCAGGCTCTGGTGACGACTTTTTTGTTATACATGAGACATGGCTAGCATTTTCTTCAGTTGTGTGCATTGCAGATTTTTAGAAAGGCAATGGAATGAATGAATGGAGGAAGGAAAACAAAATGTAAACATCCCTGAAATACAGTATCCTTTACCAATGATAAACAACGGGAGCCGTATGCTTAAGATGGATTCCTGAATGGTCACCACACCACAGTATTAACAAGGAAAACCCCAAAGTCGTGTTTTTAGAAAATTGTAAGTGCATCATCCTCAGTGTCACTGCTAACACTGAGATCAGCAGCAAGGCTGATTTGACTTTAAAAAACCCTGATTCTCAGTATGTTCTTGTTCTGTATCTTTCTGAAAAAATAATCCTTTGTTCCCTTTAGGGTTCTTGAGAAAAATGTATTTGTACACACGGCTGAGCAGTAACCTTGTGGATTTCAATCCCTTTCCCCTGAGCATTGTATTAATTAGTGCATGATTCTTCCCATGCTTCCTAACTGTTGAAGAGTTTCAGACTGTGTTCCAAATTTGGAGCTATCTTAAATGAAGCTTTCCAGACGTGTAATAGAACTCAATTTTCATGTCATGCTGAAAAAGTGTCTATAGATACAGAAGTATCTAAACTATGTTAGGAATTGTGGCTTTTTTTAAGGCAGAGCTCCTCTACTGTTATGAAATAGAGCAGATGGAGATGTAGAAAATCCTGAGACTGAATAGTGCTCCTTCAGTAATTTCCTATTTACAAGCCTGTATGTGTATGTGAAACATAGGGGAAAGACCCCAGGGCTGAGTGGGCCCTCTGTTACAGTGTTAACTTGGGCCTAGAAAACTAGTTAACCACTTAATTCACAGTGCAGGTCTAAATGCCTACGTAAGGCCTCAGTGAGCCTTGTCTTGCAAGATGGCTTAGTACCTTGGAAGGAATTTCACACTGGCAGTTATTCTG